ATCCCCATTCCAGAGCCAGATCCCCCCCCCCCCAAACCAGTTCCCTTCCATCCCCCACTCCAGAGCCCTCCTTCTCCCCTTCCCCCCTTCAGAGTTAACCCTTCCCCCTCTGATTTCCTCCTGCCCCTCCATACATAGCCCTCCCTCTCCCCCATCCAGAGCCCTTCTAACCCCCACCCCCTTCTTTCCAGCGTGACAAAAACCCTCTGAGCGGGAAGCGGGAAGCGGGAATCAGGGACAGAATGGGTGAGGGGGGAGGGGTAGTGGGGGTGGAGCATGGGTTGGGGGGAAAGCATGGAAGACCGGAAAAGAGCAGGCGAGATGGGGACCGGGGCTTGGGAAGGGAAGGCATGGGGACGCTGCAATGGAGTGGGAGGGCAGATGAGTCGGGGTGGGGCCATGGAGAGTGAGTGAGGCGTGCGCTCCCTGCTGAGCCCTCCTTCCTCTCCCCCAGTGCCTTCCATCCCCCCTTCCGTGCCCTTGTTCCCTCCTTTCAGTGCCCTTCTCCCACTCGAAAGCCAGCCGCCCCACCAGCTGGGAAAACGAAGGGCTAGGGGAGGGGTACAGGCAGGATAATTGCGTGGATAGGAGCATGGGAGGGGGGAGTAAGCATGATTGAGGGGGAGTGAGCATGGAATCAGAGCGGGATTCCCCCCCCCAACCAGAGCTCACCTCCCCCCCTGTCTGAGCTCACCTTCCGCCCCTTGTCTGAGCTCACCTCCCCCCTTGTCTGAGCTCACCTCCCCCCTTGTCTGACCTCATCTTCCCCTCCTGTCTGAGCTAACCTTCCCCCCTTGTCTGAGCTCACCTTCCCCCCCTCCCTGAACCGACCTTCCCCCCCGGTCTGAGCTCACCTCCCCCCTTGTCTGAGCTCACCTTCCCCCTCTTGTCTGAGCTCACCTTCCCCCCCTTGTCTGAGCTCACCTTCCCCCCCTGTCTGAGCTCACCTCCCGCCTTGTCTGAGCTCACCTTCCCCCTCTTTTCTGAACCGACCTTCCCCCCCTGTCTGAGCTCACCTTCCCCCCCTTGTCTGAGCTCACCTTCCCCCTCTTGTCTGAGCTCACCTTCCCCCCATGTCTGAACCGGGGATGACGAGAGCCCGCCTCGCACCACTGCCGTGTGAACCCCAATGCGCATCTGATGCCATGCCATCACGTGCAGTACCATTCCATGCCACAACATGCCATGGTGCGCCATGCCATGCCATGCCGTGCCGTGCCCAACCATGCCATCCCATGGATAAAAACACACATCAAACCATGGTAGGGATATGCTAGGGGAAAGGCAGGGATGAGCGCAGCGGGAAGCAGGGAGTGGGACACTCAAGCGGGGAGAGGGGAAAGCGTTTCGCGGGCTGCGGGTAGCGCGCAGTGGCAGCAGCATGAAGCGACAAACGGGCAGTGATGGGCGACGGTGCCAGAAACGGGCAGCAGATGCCCTTCTAGGCCGGGAAAGCGTGGAAGGTAGGAAGCGGGAAAGCGGGGTCGCGGTGAAGCAGCTGGGAAATGGGGGAGCTGGGAGGCGGGAACACGGTAAAGCGGGGAAGCTAGAACGCGGGAAAGCGGGAAAGCGGGGGAGTTTTGGAAGCGGGATAGCAGGGAAGTGGGAAAGTGGAGTTGCGAATGTGGGAACCAGGGTGAAGCCATAGGTCAGGGGAACGCGGGCTCCGTCTCTAATAAACCGCACTATAAGCACACACTATAAAATTGGCAGTTGGCGCTGTGTTTGGGAGCGTAAATGGCGGGGAAGGAGCCATGGCCAGTGAGTACAGAACAAGCACCAAGAAGCTTTGGATCTTGGTGGCAGAAAGAAGCTTTTCTGCTGGGCGAGCTAGCTGCGTTGCAGGGCTGTCGCTTGGCAAAACAGAAACCCCCCTCTGCCAATTTTTTCCCCCCTCTCGCCCCAACTGGGTTACCCACTTTGTTATGTGCATTGGCTGGTTGGTTTCGCCACTCGGCAGTGTAAAGAATTTCCATTCCTTACTGAGTCGTACACTAGCGCGTACACCCGAACTCCTCGACTCGTCACATTCGGCCTCAATTGTCGGCCCCAATCTCTTCCCGAGTCGCGTCCGGCATGCGCCACATTGCCGAACCTACCCACGTTCCGAGGTTATCGCCCTAGCATGCCAACCCCTATATAACCTCGTGCCTTCATTGCAATATCGACCTTGTATTCTCACGTTATAGTTCATTGACACTTCCTATACAGTATCATAACAACTAGTATCAGAGCCTGACCTTTCCAGGAACCTTCCGTTTTCCCGTCTACTTACTTAAGGGTGGTAAGAGGGGATTAGCACAGCTGCACAGCAGTTGTCTTGGATCGTAAATATTTTTACGTCAACAACTACAGCGTGTGCGCTAGCTTCTGCCCCATCCTGACTGCCACCATGGCCCCGGTAGATTCGACAGTTGAGGGACAGTCCACCTCGGCAGCTGCGAACCCTGCCCGGGAAACAGTGGACCTGCAAACATTAATGGAGCAGTTGAAGAATTTGACAAGCATTATCAACGGCCTCCGCGACGAGAACCAGCGACTTTGCCAAGCGCATGAAATGTGTCCAGAGGAGCCGGGTGACGATGCACGAAGCGAGGCGGGTGAGCAGCAACCGTCACCAGTGGAGCTGGCATGACTAGCGGCAACAGCCCCGTGCTCGACAAGTGGCGGTGTAAGATATCAGCAACCCGCTCCTTTCGACCCAGCTAATATAGGCGTGATAGTGCGGCAGTGGATATTCGCCATGAATATCTATTTTAACGCGGCGGGCATCCAAGACGATAAGAAGCGGATCAGCCACGTGTTAACACTGTTGCAAGGGGCCGCCCTACAGTGGTGGAAGGTCATCGTCGACTCAGCGGCAAATCGCACAGAAGGACAGCACGAGTGGTCCGAAGAATTCGGCGGTGAAGACGAAGCAGATTTGTTGTTCAGAGCAACCCACATTCGCACGTGGGGAACATGGTGCGCAGAGCCTCGCAAGCGGTTTGAGCATGCACCTACCTCAGACAAGGCACGCGAAACTCTACGCATGTGGAAGCAGCTGGGATCTGTGTCCGAGTACACTTCGTCGTTCCTGCCGTTGGTGGACAGATGTGGCTACATGCACGAGTTGGAGAAGGTCAACAAGTACATGGGCAACTTGAAGCCTGAAATACAGTACCAGATAAAACTGCAATGCCTTGCGAAGCGGTTACAAGACTACATCCAGCTCGTCGAAGCTGCTGATTCACTCACGAAGCCGAGGACGAACTTCTACGACGGAGGTCGCCCTCGAGAACAGTACCAGCGTGCCACGATAAAAGGGGTGGATGCAGTGGATATTACGCAGTTGCTCCGCGAAATACGGGGCTATGCTACCACTGTGGCCGGCCGGGTCACATCCGACGCAACTGCCAAGAATTCATAGCCCTCCAGAATTCTATGGGGAAGAAGCCGGAGGAGCGACCGGGAAATGGGTTGCGTAAGTAAGTACCAAGCCCCTTACTGACGGGCAAGCTTCTTCGCCCAAGCCATACAGTCCCCACCAGGTCGTGATCCCGATTGCTGCAATCGATCGGACCCGAACGAATAAGGGGGACGAAACTACTGATCACCCTGTGTTGGTGGAGGGTAAAGTCAACAGTGTGTTATTGAAGATTTTCGTTGATGGAGGCGCGAGTCACAGTCTCATACAAATGGACAGGGCTAAAAAATTACGTATACCTTTACTCAAGTGTCTACCTAAAATCGACGCTCGACAAGTGGACGGAACACCGCTGGCAATACGAGAACGAGTTGAGAACGTTGGTTTTACCTGTGGAGAGCATGTAAAATTTCGGATGGGACTACTGGCGACTACTCTCGACGGGTGCGACGGGCTGTTGGGACATGATTGGTTGCGACGGTACAACCCGAAGATTGACTGGGCGATGGGCGGCTGCAGCATCAAGCTCGAGGGGATTTCCCGCGAGCTGCCCAAGTGGACAGGGCCTCGCACGCGCAGCACCCAAGTCCATGCGATCACTTTCAAGCACGCAATGAAGGCTGGAGCTGCCGCGTATGCTGTTGATCTTCGCGAGGTGACATCGACGGTCGAGACCGAAGATATCGAGAAGCTGTGCAAAGCCGTCCCTCCGGACTTAGCAGACCTGATTCGGAAATACCCAGAGATTTTCCCAGATGATCTGCCAGCTGGACTCCTACCGAGCTGACCTGAGGACCACCGAATCGAACTGGAACCAGGCATCCAACCCACGGTACAGCGCCAATTTCAGCTCGGCCAACCGGAACTCGAAGAATTACAGCAGCAGCTGTATTACCTTCTGGCGAAAAGTTTTATCCAACCCAGCACATCACCATATGTCGCCCCGATACTGTTCACCCTGAAGAAGGACGGAGGATTCAGAATGTGTATCGACTACCGCGCGCTCAACCGTATCACCATCAAGTCGCGTTACCCCATCCCGCGAGCCGACGAACTTCTCAACCAACTTCGCGGCGCTAAGTTTTTTCTCAAAAATCGACTTGCGATGAGGTTACCATCAGATTCGCGTCGCCGCCGAAGATTGTCACAAGACGGCATTTTGGACCCGCTACGGCAGCTACGAGTACCTTGTGATGCCTTTTGCTCACGAATACGCCTTCGACCTTCCAAATGACCATGGATGGAATTTTTAGGGAACTCTTGGACAAATGCGTCATCATCTACCTCGACGATATACTAATCTATAGCTGCATCAGAGAGCAGCACTTACGGGATCTTGATGCAGTCTTCTCGCTGCTGCACAAGAATCGCCTCATCACCAAAGGGTCTAAGTGCGACTTTCTTAAGCAGGAGTTGGAGTTTCTTGGCCACATCGTATCTAATGGAGTAAAAATCGACCCTTAGAAAATCAAGGCCATACAGGAATGGAAGACGCCAAGCAACATCAAGGAGCTGCAGAGTTTTTTGGGTTTCGTCAATTACGTCCGCAGGTTTATACCCAATATGGCTGGGTTATCTGCCGTGCTAACTGACTGACTCAAGGATCATGTTTGTTTTTGGTGGGGAGAGAAGCAGCAAGCTGCATTCGACCAATGGAAGATCGCGATCACGTCGCCGCCCGTCCTTCGCATTGCCGATCCTGACAATCCATACGAAGTCATCACCGACGCCAGCGACATTGCCATTGGCACAATTCTTCTACAGGATTTTGGCGAAGGATTACAGCCAGTCACCTACGAATCACGAAAGCTGCAGGGTGCACAGAAAAAATACACGGTACACGACAAGGAAATGTTGGCGATCGTCCACGGCGTTCAAGACCTGGCAATGCTACCTGACAAGCGCTGACGTCACTGTGCGGACCGACCAAAAATCCCTCCAGTACCTGCGAGCCCAACCGAATCTCAACCCACGACAGATCCGATGGCTCGATTTCCTCGAGTCAAACTTCCGCTACACCATTACCTACTTTAATAAGCACGACACTTCCCCCATCCGGGTTCTCGGCTACGATTTACTTTGTACCCTCCTAATCCAGGAATCCCACGACAATCCTACCTCCAGGCATTTCAGAGTTGACGAAACCTTGAAGATGTTGCAGCGCAATTATTAGTGGCCGAACATGGCCGACGACGTGCGCAAGTACGTGTCCTCCTGTACCGCCTGCCAGATCATGAAATCATCCCATCAGCGAGCAGCCAGACTACTACAGCCTTTGGATCCGCTCGAAAGACCCTGGCAAGACGTCACGATGGACTACGTACCAGGACTGCCGGCCGGTCCCAGCGGAAACAACGCCATCCTTGTGGTCGTTGACCGATTTATGAAAATGGCGCACTTCATCGCCTGCCAACAGAAAATTACAGCTGAACAAACTGCCCAACTGTTCATCGCGAACGTCATCAGCCTGCATGGACTGCCCACCGCCATTATTTCAGACCGAGACCCGAAATTCACATCGAATTTCTGGCGCCATCTGTGAGACCAGTTCGTTACCAAACTATAGTTTTCCTCGGCCTACCACCCACAGACTGACGGGTAGATCGAACGAGTCAACCAAACTATGGAGCAGCTCATTCGGACTAACTGCACTGACCTACAGACATTGGAGAAATCTTTTCCGCTGCTGGAATTCGCGTATTATAACGCGCCTTCCGCAACAACCCATCACTCCCCATTTTTCCTCAATTACGGATAGGACCCAGTGGTACCCTCTACACCCAACATCGAGACACCCGTGCCCCCAGTCCCAACGATTTGCCGAAGACATCCTCGCAGCTCGAGAAAAAGCAGCTGAGGTAATCCGGAAAGCCAACCTGGTCACAAGCCGACAAGCCGATCGTCATCGACGTGACGTCACTTACAAAGTGGGAGATCTCGTACTACTCGACACTCGCAATTTGCGTCTCCCGATCCCAAGCAAACTCCAATCCCGATTCTGTGGCCCCTTTCAAGTGACCAATACGGTGACACCTGTCACGGATTGGCGGATTGGCGTCACCACCCGGCTTTCCACGTCAGCCTACTACGACCTTACGTCCCCGATTCATCAGATTTGGCACGTCAACACATCGTACCGCAGCTGACACCTCTGCAAGAACCGAGGACTGAGCCCCTGCAGATTCTCGACCATCGAGTCAACACAGCAGAATCGACAAATGGTGGACTTTCTCATCAGATGGCGCGATCGGACGTCTGAAGATGACAGCTGGGTGCCCCTCGCTGATATAGAATCACACCCGATTCTAACAGCGTATTATTAGCGTCGGAATGTTTCCGATGCCCGCGGCCTCGTTTAGGAGGGGGGGGGGGGTAGTGTAAGGATTTTCCCTTCCTTAATGAGTCGTACGCAAGCGTGTACACCCGAACTCCTTGACTCGTCACGTTCGGCCTCAATTGTCGGCCCAACCTCTTCCTGAGTCGCGTCCGGCACTGTTGCCATATTGCCGAACGTACCCACGTTACGAGGTTATCGCCCTAGCACGCCAACCCCTATATAACCTCGTGCCTTCATTGCAATAGCGACCTTGTATTCTCACGTTGTAGTTCATTGACACTTCCTATATCATAACAGGCAGGTTCGAAACGCTTTGGACTTTGAAGTTATTCTGTGCGCTTGCTTTAATGATGATGGTTAATAATTACGGCATCATCCTTCCTAATAGTTAGTAAATGATTACCCTTTGGGTTATTTTATTATTATATTTATATCACCGACCAGGCTCGGGATGTACTGGCGCGTTATATCTAGCGTAATCTTGCCGTAATCCCTTGAAGCTAATAGCCTCGTATGGCTGTATGCATGGTGATTCTATTTCTAGAAGGGTCTATTCCCTTTGGATATGATCAACCTGGTTACCTGATGTACTTTGGAAGTATAAAAGCGCCTTGTATCAATCGATAGTGCAACTTTTCCTTGACACATTCGATCCTGTGACAATTGGTAATCAGAGCTTTTCTCACTCTCCCATGCTCAGCTAAGCAGAAGTAGCGGGAAAACCTGCCTCGCAAAACCGCCGGGGGCGACTAATTCGGCGCCGATTCTGGTAAGCACGAGCTCCACGTTTTTTGAATTTACCCCTCCGCGCGTGTTTTGAACAGGATGACGAACTTCGACAACGCCGAGGTTATCCAACAGCTCTTTGCGAGCATCGTTGCCCTTCAGGAGGAGATGCGAGCCGATCGCTAAGCTTGGCGAAACTAGTTCGAGCAAGTAACTCGACTCACCGGCGCACAGCATGAAACGACAACGGCGACGACGCAACAGTCGCAGCAGTTTTTCGAGGCTCCGAAACCGCGCCCACCTGAGCCGTTTGATCCGAGCGATCGAATTTCCGACGTCCGCAGACGGATCGCCGGCATGGAGATCTATTCACAGCCGTCGGATGGAGCTTGCCAGTCTGGGACGGTCAACGTGTACGACTCGCGGCGACACTGATGCGAGGGCCGGCACTCGAGTGGATCGGCGGCAACAGTACTTTCATCCACCGTGAAGCCACGTGGCAGCAGTTCCGCACCGACCTACTGAAATGCTTCGAGCCGATAGATTTTATCTTATAAGGATGCTTTAATGCGAACTTACAATTCTCGAGGGCTAGAGCCTTCGAGAAATTTCAGGAGGGACTCCGAAGAAGCATAAACTTTTGGAGATCGTACTGGTACCGGAAAACATGGGGACAAAATTAAGGAGTGTGGAAAGAAGCCGACCTTTCCAAGGAGTCAACGTCCTCTCCCGACACCAGCCCACAATGACTAATTGTTCCCACGGAAGATGTCGGTGGAGCTGAAGCAGCTCAAGAGGAAGCTGGGGGTCTACAAGAAGCTGCAAAAACCCCGAACTCCTCCTTCGGATGCATCCAGCTCATCAAATTCGGCATCAACGACATACATAATCGTCAAGAAAGCTCTGGGTCCTGAGGGAGAGCCTTTCTCCAAGCAGCCACGGAGAGCTGCCAGCCCAAGAGTAGATAAGAAGGAAAATGTGTGTACGAAATCTTGGGATGTACCCTATGATCCTATTAACGAAACTATCTTAGGGTAATTCGAGCAATGCTTGCCCCTCGTGCTCGATGTCATCTGCAAAGGACGACGCCTCCAAGCACTCCATGGACAGCGGAGCATCACACACCGTATGCGACAAGGCAGTAATCGACCAACTTCGGGAAGAGTACAAGCTTTCAGCATTCTCTGCAACGATGGTGGACGGCAACAAGTTACAAGTATACGGCGAAGCAGTGTTACACCTACAAATCGGACCACCGCACTGGAAACCTGCACTTCTCATCACCAACATAAAAGGGCTGGACTTGATCTTCGGGTGAGACTTCCTAAAACGATTCAACCCCGAGATCAATTGGGTAAATCGTACCGCAAGCATCTACAACAACGAAGGAGAGTCCAGCTACCCAACTGGGAGGATACAGGAGATATCCCAGTGGAAACACTCGCAAGATTCGAGAACGACATAAAACGAACCGACAGCAAGTTCCTGGCGATAGCGACATAGGTGGAAAACGATGGGGAGAAAACCTCGGAACCTCCATAAAAAATCAAGGAATTACTGAATGATTTCCAAGACATTCTTCCCGACGACCTTTTGAACGAGCTGCCGCCATACCGAACGCACCAACACGAGATCGTGGAAGAACCAGGTTCGAAGCCGACCTTCCGACCACCATATCGGCTCAGCCCCACGAAGCTAGCCGCTATGAAAAAACATATCGAGTATCTCCTCGCAACTTATCCGACCATCCACTTCGCCATAGTACTCTTCACACCGAAACCAAACGGAAGCCTGCGCATGTGCATCGATTACCGAGCTCTCAACAAGCAGACCATCAAGAACAATACCCAATACCACGAATCGATGACCTGCTTGACCAGCTTCGGGGAGCCACGGTATTTTCCAAACTAGATCTGCGGTTTGGATATTGGCAGATACGAATGGCGGACAAATCCAACCACAAAATTGCCTTCCGAACTCGGTACGGGTCGTACGAGTATCTGGTAATGCCGTTCGAACTCACCAACGCACCGGCAAGATTCCAAGCCAAAATGAACCACATTCTATGCCCACTCTTGAATGAATGCATGGTGGTGTACCTTGACGACATCCTCATCTACTCGCGTGAAATGCAGTAGCACGTCCAACACCTGCGACGCGTCTTCAACATTCTTCGACGAGAACGATTCTACGTCAAATTATCCAAGAGCGAGTACGCCCTCGATGAAGTCCAATTCCTAGGATACATGGTGAGCGCTCAAAGAGTTTACGTCGACCCGAAGAAGATTGAAGATGTATTCACGTGGAAGACACCCGAGAACGTGAAGGAGCTGCAGCAATTCTTAGGCTTCACGAAAAATAGTATCGCGCGACTCCCGGACAGAGCGGGCGAGCTCAGCAGCTGCGTGAGCTGCTCAGTAGCTGCTGGCATGTACGTATTTGATTGGTTAAGACGATTAACTATAAAAAAGGGTAGTAGGTATAAATGATGTAGCATACAATGGATAGAGAATTCATTATAGTGCTTACGCTCTAGTGAGGCTCACGCTCCTGAGGTGAGCGCTACGAACCCGTTGTCGCTGTCCTCGCATTAGGTGGGACAGAACTGGAGTACTGTGGGGGTGGCGGCCAATGGGTGGGAGCACCATGAGACAGTAGATTATAAGGCCTTGCTTGCACGTCATCACTGTCACAATTACGGGGTGCAGTTTACGATGCGTTTGGGTTATGTTGATTTGCGCTTCCGGAGGTGGTTGAAGCAGAGGGGTAATGTCAATGTGCAGGTGGCGGCGTCTCGGGGGGCTTGTTAGAGGGATGAAGCAGTTTTTTCCGCATACCTTCTCGGGTCTCTAAAGGTCGCGATTGGGGTAGCTCTGCAGTGTGCGCATGGTAACACACACAGACAGAGAATGATGGAGTTAAATTGTATTTTCGTGTGATACTCGTTGGGCCCTTTATAGCACTGGCGACCCAAAGCAGGAAGAGGTGTGGTCAAATATGAGCTATACGTAGCATAAGACATGTACCACTATTTTATTCGAATCAATCTTTTGTACACCGAATCGTTTTTCAGTGGCAGGATCTCCTTGTGTTCATTCCAATGCGAAAGGCAGATGCGGTAGAGTCCAACAGGATGAACAAAATCACATGAGCAGCTGAGGGCGTGGTACAAACAATAACGAGCGGAACCCCGTTCGATCGATGAGAACGCTACAGAAATTTAGAGAATCACACTACGTGTTTCAGCTAGATACTCACCAGGTACAGTGTGGTCGAGTCACGTGATTGGGATTCTCGATCGTATGTACCACGCCCTGAGATTTCGTCACAAGATAATGACTGATGAGAAAAAAAAAGCCTCGCCACCGCCATGCAAAACAAACCCCTTATTTGCGTGGATAATTTGTTCAACGTGTTAAACGGTACGCCGCGTTAAGAATTACTGGAAAAGACCCGCAATGCAGGTGCATCACATGCCTACACAAGGTGTCCAGCGAGTCTCAGAAAATTGACCGGGCCCACCCCCGAATCTGCGCCCATTCGCTACCAATCACGTGCAGCGACCCTTTCACCTGATGGCCCATTCACCTGGGATTTGTGGCACCTGCGACCTGGAGGAGGCCAGCATGTCCTTGCAAAGAATTTCAAGAAATATGCCCCCTATCATATTCCCACAAAAACCGCGCATCGTCGTATTGCACCTCTCATATGTCTTAAAACGGGGTATTCTTAAAACTAATTCCTATGCATGTCAGAAATTCTGACATCAGGTTTACGTTTGTGCGAAACCACCCGTGTCCACTTTATGGCCTGTTCTTCCGTGGCGAAAGCTCACGAAATAACTGTGCGCATTACGTCCACGCATTTCGTCTAAACCGAGGGCCAGCGGTGCGCACCCGGTGTACTCTCCCCACGTCGGAGAATCACCCGCGCAATTCTCGAGTCTCTCAACCTCACTCTCTCCGGAGTCCCCCTGGTCCTGAAATCTGGTAGATTCGTTCTCTGCCGTTCCTGCCGAACAGCGCCCCCATTGGCTCCCAAATCTCTCTGAAGTCCCGACGGTTGGTGCACGTGAGCCCTTGGGATTGCCCAGTATCGCACCACGCCAACCGTCGTGCTCGAAGGCTGCCGGCAGCCTTCGAGCGCGGTGGTTGGCGTGGTGCGATACTAAGCAATTCCAAGGGCTCACGTGTAAGGCCTCTCGCTAACAGGGTGATATTTTCTCTTCATGTCGAGAAATTAAGAGTAATGTTTCCAGTAACTCCATTTTTTTACGGTGTGAGTTGTTTCCGAATCCGTCCAACTTATGGAGACAATTTTCTTAGCCTAACGAGTACCTTCTTTTTGAATACGTACAGGCTATACTTGTTGTAGGGCCATCGGTAGGGGGTTACGATCCCCCAACACGCCCCCCCCCGCCCCCCCCCACACCCCCCCCACCCCTTCCCCCCCCTAAAACATCCCTTTAATTCCGTGCTAGCCGAATTTGTAGCGGCCGATTCCTTTCCGAAACGGGTTTTTTGGGAGAAATCCCGTCTGCTAACGGGTAATCCAGAGGCGATTCCCCGAGTGTGGGAGACGAGCAGCGCGAAAATGCCGTCCAAACCGACAGTTCAGGAAGAGCACGGTACTGCTTACTAAAGCGAGATACCATACGGTTTAGTGTGGTGGAACAGAACACTCCCGACGCAGGGTGTCTGTCCGCTTTCGACGTCGCAGTGCGGTCTGCAGACTTTGGGAAAGGTCTTAATGTGTACAGTTCGGTGGTTAGACTCACGATGCATCATTTTGCTCGCCGTCAGGCTCAAGTGCCAACTCCAGTCCAGACAGACTAGTCCTTGGACTACCCAAATTTGTAAGTATAGCTCGCTGCATTTCGAAGCGAACATCTCGAGGCAGCGCTACTGCAAAGCGAACCCTAAACCTGTAGTTCGCACTTACTGCCGCGCCGTCCATCGCGGCGTGATGGAGCGCGCCGCCCTTCAGCTCGGCGCGCTGCTCCTGACGTGCCTCGCGGTCTCGCGAGTCGACTGCGTTCCCCTCGCCAACTCCCAGGGTGCGGACAAGAGACAGTGGGTGAGGGGAGGGGGGGTTGTGGTGGGGAAGGGGGGGTGGGAAGAACGGGAAAGTGGGCGAGGGAAGGCGGATAAAGGGGTTGTGAGTGGCGGAGAATGGGAAAGCGGGTGAGGGAAGGGCAGAAACTAGAATAGTGGGCGGGGGAAGGGCGGAGGAGCGTGGAGGAGTAAGGGTTTAAGTTGTGGAGATGACGATGCGAGATAGTGGCTGAGTAGAGGTGGTGAGCGGTTGTAGGAGGAGCGATAAAAAACCGATGCTCTCATCTGTCTTCTCGTTCGCTTATCGCCCTTCCCCGGAGCTCGTCCTTATCTGCCAACAGGTGGCAGTAGGGAGTGAGATTTGGAGATGGTCATAGCAAGTTTACTACCTCCCCTCTGTTGTGATCCCTGACCTTCTCGCTTTCATCTGCCCCCAGCGCAAGTTCTGTGGGCAGTGGGAGAGGAGAGGTGGTTGAGAGGTGGGAGAACGTGAAAATGCGAATCCCGGAGACAGGACCTTTGCTCGACTCGTGGTTGCTCCCTGCCTTCTCTTCCTTCTTTCCGTCATCGCGTGTAGGCTGCCAACAGGTGGGCGGCATGTGATGTTCAAGGTTGAAACACCCTTCCCCTCCCCCTCCCCCTCCCCGTCCCCTTCCCACCCTCCTCCAAAACACCCCCCCACCCCCCACCCCCCCCCCCCCCCACAGCGCAAGTCCTGCTGGACTGGCAGACGGCGTGGAACACAACGATAAAAGGCTGGGAAGTGGGCGGGGACTGCAGCAGTGCGAGCAATCTCACCTGCGATGCCCAAGGCATGATAACGGGCATGTGAGTGATCCCTTTGTATCATTTGAGCCTCGAATACAAGGTCCCAATTTAGGCATCAGCACAGGTCCGGCCCGATTCTGCTGGACTTTGTGTCGGGCCAGCCCGGGCCTGGCCAAGATCAGGCTGACTTTGGGCAGAATCCCCGGCTCGTGCCCGGGTTTATGGGTCGGGCCGGTCTTGGCCCGGGGGCAGGCCGGGCCGCCTGCCAGGCAAAACCAGGCTGGGGGCAGGGCAGTGGCGGGCAGGGCCGGCCCGGCCCATCCAAGCCTTCGGGCATGCCCAGTCCGACTTCCTCCGGGCATCTCCAGTCCGACTTCCTCCGGGCATCTCCATCCCCTCCTCGCTCCCTCTTCTCCTCTCTCTCCCTCCATCCGTCACTCTTCCCCTCCTTTCTCTCACTTCCTCCATCCATCACCCTCCCTCCTTCCTCTCACTCCCTCGATGATCGATCCCTCACTCTCTCCCGCAAGTGACTTCCCGAGTCGGCTCTGACTCAACCTGGCGGCTAGTTGATTCTTGACTCGACTCGGTTCGAGTTGGGCCTCCCAATTCCTGACTCGTGACTCAGCTTCTGCGGCCGAGTGAAGCTGCCTCGTGATGCAAGTCGAGCATGGCTCGACTCGTCTGATGGGGGGGCTTTTGGTCCCCTCGGCCGACGCCACATCCCCAGGGATCCACGGCCCAAACGGTTCTCCTCAGGATAGGCAAGGGCTCGGGAGAAGGATGCATGTCAAAACAGAACTGTCAAGCAGCAGTTATGTCTTCCCATGGATGTATGCAAGTTCATTGGATGGGCCGGCCAGTATACGGGCTCGAGATCTCTTGGACCCAGCCTGATGCACGCCAAGGCTTGTGCGTGCGGCCTGTGCGGCCTGTGTAGATAGAGTGGCCGCGCGAAACGCAAGTTGTGCGCAGATAGAGTGGCCGGCGGCTGCGCAGATCAGCAGACGTAGCTCCACGAGCCTGGAGGTTGCTAGGCCCGTCTCGGGCCGGCCTGACCCTTCCTCAGCCCACGGGCCACAGGCCAACCTCGAGGCTTGTCCGATGAACAGCAAACTCGATTTAAACTTGCCAAAAAATGTCAATCAAGTCGAGTTTAACTCGCGACTCGACCGAATCTACCCGTGTCAAGTCGGTCGAGGCCAAGTCGGGGCAACGTTAAAAGTTTGCTCATGCCTACCTGCCGAGCTTTTGAGAGTCGGACATCATGTTGAGTGGATTATGCTTAGGCTTGAGCAAAACCGGGTAAATACCCAACCCGACCTGGTTTTGCTATACCCGACTTCGGGCTGGGTAATTTCGGGTCGAGTCCGTGTCGGGTATTACATCCTGGACCAATACCAGACCCGGTTTTCATAGGGGGTATTTTAATACCCGCTAGGCAGGTCCGGGTATACCTGACCCGATTTAGCTTAAAAGCGGGTAATGCTACCCGCCCATACAAGAAGGCCTAAACAAGGTATGTTTTTTACACGAATGCATTTTTCTTGTTCGTCCATCTGTCTCCCAGGGTTGTGACAGCAATGTGGTCATGCGGAAAATTCTAACCTGGATTTATGCGGGCTTGTAGCCACCACGATACTCGTGTACTTGCCTAGCTTGTTTGGGATTGCTATACAAGGCATCAAGAAATACGTACTATACGTTTAGAGCACGCAGTTCATTCTACGGGCTGGTCACAATCATTTAAACAAGCATGAAGCCATGTCTGCATGGCCCTACAGCTCAATGCTGGGTCCGAGCATGGCACAAGCACTGGAATGTATATAATAGGAAGAAATGTCCAATGGGGCTAACATGTACCCACTCTTCACAACCCCTCGTCATCACCCTCAATGCACAACCCCCCATGGCCCAATCCAGCGTCGCCAGCGGGAGGCTACCGTCAGCGCGCTGTGCCATCCATGACTTGAGAGTCATGGTTGCACGCACCT